CATCCCTGACCTTGAAGTCAGCAAAGCGTGTCCACGGAAGTACTGTGAGTGGTCCTGGGAAGCATCAACCAGACCAGGGACTCTCTACCAATGACTCTTGCAGGTAGTTATAATGACTTCCCACTCTAGACCTGCACATTTTTAATAGAATATCTTTTCTTTACTCTTTGACAATGTCATACATGTAAATAATTTAGCTTGATGATATGTACCCCTAGTTGCCCCTCCTACTCCCTGAGGAACCACCAACTCCTCCCTCTCACTCCACCCAAGAGCCCCCAACATGCCCCCCTTCATGTCCTCTCCTTTTGTTTGTTAATAACCCACTGAGTCCATTAGTGCTGCCTGCTGGAATGTTGACTGAGGTTGCTGACTTGAGCTTGTACGGGGACCATAGGAGCAGTGGGTTCATGACTGCAGTGACCGTGTCAGGTCCTAAAGGCAGCCTTTCTCGGCACTCTTCCCCATTCTTCTGCTCTTATGTTCTGTCTGCCCCTCTTCTGAAATGTTTCCTGAGCCCCACGTATGTGGAGGGGGGGATGTTGAGCACTCAATAGACACATTCTCAGCCCTGTAACCAGTTATGAGTCTCTGCATGAACTGCTGCCCACTGCAGAGGAAAGTGTCTCTTGCCAGGGTTGAGAGCAGCATTAATCTACAGACCTCCAATTTTTATGATTTGAAAAAATAAATTAAAAGCAGCTTGCCATCCTATATATCCCCTCAGCCCATTTTATACACAAGCTCACTCTGCTCCCAGTGCTGAGTGCACAGTATGCCTTTAGAGGGCTCATTTTTTGTCTCTTGAATGAGTTGTTCAAATGAATTGTCTATCATCTGCCCTTGACCTGACATTCCCAGCAGCCACTAATGCAAGATGGGAGATCTATGGAATACTAGATGTATATTATCCAAGGTCCTTTTCAGTCTAATTCCTGAGCAAGACAGGTCCTGACCCTAGTGAGGTTCTCTGGTTAGAGCTCTGTGCAGGCAGACATATTACCAGAAGTGTGTGTACTACTACACCCCTATAGAGTACCCCCTTCATGCTTTCTGGGCCCTGTGATTTTGGTGTGGACAGGGAAGGTGAATGTTGTAACTAGGATGTCTTCTCTACCATTCAGGGAGGACTAGAGAAAGCTCTCATGTCTCCTTTCCATACAAAGATACTGGGATTGTGGCATCCTCCTGACTCAGTTACCTGTGAAAATCATCTCATGAGGGGGATGGGGAAAGAGCTAACCTTCCCAGAATGCCTACTGTGCTTTAACAAGAAAGCAGTTGCTCCTTTCAAAAATACTTTTGTTGGGGTGGACTCTCATCATGGCAACAAGTAAGGTTGCAAGGACCTTGTCCAAGGGCAAAGTCACCTTCATGGGCCTTTTGCTCCCACTGCCTGAGCTCAAGTTTGAACATAAGCTTTGAAGACCCTTGGCTCACATTTTCTCTTTACCGTGGGATCACTCTAGAAAGACATCTAGTCTTCAGATGAGAGTTTCCTCTTTGTATAAATGAAGTGGTGAATGTTCTAGAAAGAAAACTTGGTCTACCAGGTTTCCCTAAATGCTCAAGGCAGGAAAAGGGTGGGTGCCATGGTGGTGTTGACCACCTAGTACAAAAGCCTAGTGTTCCCTTAGGGTAGCAGCACCTTAGGGTGGCCTGGCACTTCTCAGAGTGTGGTCTGAGAACCAGTTTCCTATGGTATGGATGAATTTCTAAAACAGTACGGAAACGTTTGTCTGGCTTCAGCTTGACTTAATAATTTGCTTGTATAACCCGTGTCTCCTCTTGGTGGCCTAAAATGCCCAGATTTAAGCACTTTATGAACGTTCTCTACATTTAGTCTGGTCTGTTGGGAAGAACTGTTTCACTAAGATAGCTGGGGCCCTCGCTGCACACACAGCGCTCCTCCTGCAGGGCAGGGGTAGTATCAACAAGTGCAGCTAGTAAACCACAGCCACCAGCCAGGCTAGGGCAGGAAGCAGGTAGATCCCCTCCTCCCACAGGTTTGTTCTCGCCTCCCTTCTTGGGCTGTGAGACTATGTGCTCCTTTCTGTCCCTGGGGATCAAATTGGGTAAAGCAAGAAATGCGTGGGACTGGCATTCAGCCCCACAGGGCTTGCATCACCTCCTGAAAGGTGGAAGGAACCACAATTTCTTGCTCTTTCTCTTTCCCCGTGTTTTCCCTTTCTTTTATGATCAAGTCTTCCCATGCCGCTCTTTCCCAAGGGGACTATTAGGCTGGCCTATTCTAAGGTCCACTCCTAAACAGAACATGCAACATACTCCAGTTTGGAGCAGTCAGGAAGGAAGCAGAGTTGGTCGTGCTGGTTTCCATTGACCACAGCATCAAATTTCAAGTTTTTCTCTTGTGCTCCTGTTCACACCTCATATGTATTCTGCCTCACTCCACAAGCACATGGCAGCTGCTAGGCACCTCAAAAATGCTCAGAAATGGGCCTGGAGAGATGGTTCAGTGGTTAAGAGCGCTGGCTGCTCTTGCAAAGTACTGGATTCAGTTCCCAGCACCTACAAGGTGGCTAACACCCAGTTCCAGAAGATCCCACACCTTCTTCTGGTCGCTGTGGGCATGTGTATTCTGCCTCACTCCAGAAGCACATGGCAGCTGCTGGGCACCTCAAAATTGCTCAGAAATGGGCCTGGAGAGATGGTTCAGTGGTTAAGAGCGCTGGCTGCTCTTGCAAAGTACTGGATTCAGTTCCCAGCACCTACAAGGTGGCTAACACCCAGTTCCAGAAGATCCCACACCTTCTTCTGGTCGCTGTGGGCATTTGTGTGCACATAGTACACATATAGGCACGATACTCATGCACCAAAAAATGCTGAAAAATAAGGAATGGCTTATTATTAAACACTTGTATTCTTTTTTTTCATTTTCCTATTGCAAATCATGAGCAAGATGATTCTTTTACTCTCAAGTTATCTGTTGCTTGAAAAAATACAAGTTCTGGGCTTGGTGGCACATGCCTTTAATCCCAGCACTCGGGAGGCAGATCTATGTGAGATACAGGCCAGCCTGGTCTACATAGTGAGTCCCAGGCCAACTGGGGCTAGAGGGGAGACCCTTTCTCAAAAAAAGAAATTTAGAAAGATGAAGAAAAAGCAGTTTCAAGAGGGTCCCAGTGAATGTCACAGGGGCTGCTGGAGAGAGGACCTCTGTGCCATGCTCCTCCCTGAGTTCAGAGTGCAGAGTCCATTAGCTCAGCAGGTACTGACAATTTCAAGGCTGACCAAACAACAGTGATACGTCAAGAGCAATCATCTCATGGAGATTCTGCACAGCATTTTGAAATGGGAATGACCTCACACTCACCTCATTTGGCCGTGAAGTCAATCTGGTGAATATTTTGCATTTTGCAGATGTGGCTTTGTGATCTCCAGGGATCTGCCAGCATTTGCAAGGGCTATGGATGAAGAGCTTGGCCTGGAGCCAGGTGCGGCCATGCATGCCTTTAAATCCCAGTACTGCGGAGGTAGAGGCAGCTGGATCTCTGTGAGTTCAAGGTCAGCATAGTTTACATAGTGAGTTCTAGGCCAGCCAGGGCTACATGGTGAGACCCTGCCTCAGACAAACAAAAAAGAGCTTGTCCAGGGAACAGAGATTCTTCCTTCTTTCCAAGATTGCAACCCTCAGCTTTCCTCTAGCTGGAAGCCACCATCAGTCACTGTGTTGAAAGGTCAAAACTCACTCTGTTGAAAGTTTATGGTCACATAAAAATTTATAAATGAATATTTATAGCAACTTTGATCATAATAGCTGAAAACTGGAAAATAATCGAAATGTCCGTGAACCCGTGAATGGATTATCAAAATGTGGTATATTTATGCAATGGAATATTATTAGGTTGTCAACAGGAATAAAACACTGATATACGCCATGGCATTGATCTTAACTTTGAAAATCATATGCTAAAGGAAAGGAGGCAGAACAAAAGGTCACAGTGTGTATATACCCACTTCCATGACCCCAAACAGGCAGATTTATAGAGGCAAAACAGATTAATGGTTCCTCAGATCAGGGGTGGTGTGGAGGAACTGGAAGTTGCTGACTAATAGGTGCATATTTCTTTTAGGGAAAATGACAGTGCCTTAAAATTGATTGCAAAATGATGGTTGTACAAGTCAATGAGCATTCGAAAACAGAACTGTGTGCTTCAAAAGGCTGAAGCAGGGGTTGGAGAGATGGCTCAGTGGTTAAGAGCACTGGCTGTTTTTGCAGAGGACTGGGGTTTGGTTCCCAGCACCAACATAGTGGCTAACAGCCATCCATAATTCCAGTTCCAGGGGATCTACCACCCTCTTCAGGCATCCACAGGCATTGTACGGCATGAGCACACTTACATACTTAGATGCAGGAAAAATATTCATAAAATAAAAATAAATCAAAAGAATCTTTTTTAAAGGCTGAAGCATATGATGTGTAAACTATATCTCAACAAAACTGCTATTAAAAGAATACTGGGTGCGGTGGCTCACACCTTTAAGCCCAGCCCTCGGAAGCTGAGGCAGGCAGATCTCTGTGAGATCGAGGCCAGTCTGATCTATGTAATGAGTTCCAGATTTTAAGTTCTTGTTAGAATCTCCTCTGGCCATGGCTTCCCCCAGACCCCAAAGCTGGTCATTTCCAGTACTGGCTACTCTGACCTCGTCTTAGGCTGAGGTATTCGTCCCTTCAACTCTGCCTGTTCGGTTTCTAGGGCAAAACATTATCTCAGCATTCTCAAATGCAGTTAGATGCTGAGTTCTCTGCTTTTTGGCTGTCAGTGTGTCTTTGGATTCTCTGAAGATCTTGCCCAACCCTAGATTCAGATTCAGTGGGTGTGGGACCCAACCTCTATACTTTGGAGCCCCTGGAACTGGTTAATTCTGTGTTTATACTTGGCATCTGATGGCTTGGGTAAATGAAGATGCAGCCTTGGCCTCTTCAGTGACCAGTCTGAGCAATCTAACCAAATATAAGGATTTTTAAAAACTGACGCTCCCTAGTGGTCTAGTGGTTAGGATTCAGTGCTCTCACTGCTGTGGCCCAGGTTCAATTCCTGATTAGGGAAGCCTCTCTTCTGCCAGGCATAGTGGTGCATGCCTTTAATCCCAGCACTTGGGAGGCTGAGGCAGTCGATCTCTGTGAGTTCAAGACGAGCTTGGTCTACATAGTGAGTTCCAGGCCAACTGGAGGTTACAGGAAGACCCTGTCTCAAAAAGACCAAAAAAAAAAAAATGTGCATGCATATGTGTCTAAGCATGGGTTTATACAGGTGAGTATGGGTACTTACAGAAACCAGAGGCACCAGATCCCCTGGAGCTGAAGTTTCAGATGATTGTGTTGTAAGTCACCTGACCTGAGTGCTGGAAAACAAACTCAGGTCCTCTCAAGAGCAGCAAGTGTTTTGAACCACTGAGCCATCTCTCCGGCCCCAAATATGAAGACTTATTAAAGCATTTCCAGTCAAGTGTTTTTTCCAACTCTTCATTATTTTTTGGTGCTGGTAATAGAAAATTATTAACTACTATCACACCCAGTTTAGTGAAGTCTACTGATGCAGTCATCTGTGTGGAAAGCACCTAGTGGCTCTAGTACCTTTTCTTTAAGTGAATCAGCCATTTGTTTCAGCATCATTGGGAAAGCCCTGAGCTCTGCTAAGTCTACGCTTCCTTGATCATACTTGTGCATTCAAAAGGAACAGAGTCTTTTCTCTTCAAAGCATCATATATCTCGTGGAAATTTTTCAGAAGATGTACCTCATGAGATGGACACAAAGAGTCAAGCTGTGGTCCAGTTGGGTATCAACAAGCTGCGGTCCAGTTGGGTACATGCAACTCGAGTTTTATTTAGCTAGCTTAGCGTGAATGTCTGTGGCACACAAAATTCTGTGCCTATATCTCAGAGAGATCTGAAAATGAACAAAGTACCTACATTGTCTGTAGAGAGCCAGTGTTGGCATAAGCATAAAGCAAGAAATAAAAGGGAAAGAGAAATATTGCAAGCAGAGAGGCTCTGGAGCTGCCCTGTCAGATGGGTCTACATTCTGCCGTGTGTGTGTGTATGAGGGGCATGTGCACATGTGTGCACTGGTATAGCGACCAGAGATACATGTCCAATACCTTTCTCGGTCACTCTCCACGTCACTAAGCCTGGAGCTCACTGATTGGTTACACTACTGGCCAGCAAGCCCTGGTGATCTGTCTGCCATTAATGGAGTTAGATGCACACTTGTCTTTTATGTTGGTGCTGGAATCAAACCAAGGTTCTCAGGGCTACAAGCTCTTTACTCATTGAGCCGCCTGCCCAGTCCCTTCTCTAAAGCTCTTGCTGATATTCTGCAGAGCTCTGGAACCCTGGTCACAACTCCTTAACTCAGCCCTGTGCTTATAGAGACTTGCTGAAGGAACACAAGGGAAGCAGAGAGCATTAAGCTCATGCAGCAGTTTCTGAACACACCTTTTGGCTGGCAAACCTTGCTTGTCAACTGGCCATTGCACAGTGCTGCTTTAGAGACCTGCTCCACAACCTAGGAGAATGCTGGGCATCCCTAAAGACGGCACCTCATGCTTGTGATCAGGGGGAAGTGCAAGCCTGAGTCCTCTGAATTCAATAGGACTCAATTTTGTTCCCAAATGAAGCTACTGAGTACCTTTTGTAATTCCTACCTATAGCTTGCAGGATTTATACTTGGGGTGTGTATTCTTAACTTTTCATGTTGCTGTCACCAACACCTGACAGGAAGCAGCTTAAGAAAGGACGGGTTGGTTTTGGCTCACAGTTCCAGGGGATACAGCCCATCATGGCAGGGAAAGCATTGCGGCAGAAGCTGGAGGCCAGCTTGTCACATTGCATCTGCAGTCAGGCAGCAGAGGGCAGATAGGAAGTAGGGCTGTGCTATAAAACCTCAAGGTCTTAATCCCTAGTGACTCATTTCCTCCAGCAAGGGCTCCATCTCAGAAAGGTGCCACAACATTTCCAGATAATGCCATGAACTTGGAACCAAGTGTTCAAACACATGAACCTATGGGGCCATTGGCATTCCAACCACAGCAGTGTACCATACCTGCCTTCTACAGGAAAGAGCCTGAAGTTCAGGGTTCTTTTTCTTCCCTGAGGTGTTGAATCTCATCCCTATGTCCCTTTAACTGGAAGACTCAGTGAATGGAAACTTCATACTAAATCAGTTGAATTAGCCATCCTTCTCTTGAGCTTCATCCGTCTTTGGCAGAGGAGTCTGAATCTGGGGCCTACCCCTCCACCCTTCTCAGGGGAGCAGCAGTAACTTTACCCCAGCTTCCAAGCTTTTCAAATGAATCTGGTCCATATTTCCTGATCCCCCTGATTCCCACGTAAATGATGAGGCAGACAGGGCCAAATTACTGATAGGAAAAATTTTAAATAAGATGATAAAGTAAAAACTGAGACAGCAGAATCATCACTGATAAGGATTAGTGAACATTTTTATAAACAGGCTTAAAGAAACATAATTAATTCCATCCCAGAATCGCTAGATAGAGTCTTACCTCCAGGAAGCAAGTAAGTATGACATTATACAATATGCTTATATAGGTGAGAAGCAAATTATTTCCAAGGCTCATTTGATGGATCCAGACTATAAATCCACCATCAGGATGATGAAATATTAATAATTATTTCTGTGGTGTCTGATATATGCAAAGTGACTTACGGTTATTTATTAGGTCATGATTCTCCACTGAGCAGTACTTTCCTGGAATAAAGGTGAGCAGGGAATGAAGAATGGGCTGTGAGAAAGCTCTGGAAAGTCCCACCATTTTCCTGGTTACCTTTAACTGTCAACTTTGCACAATCTAGAGGAGAGGAAAGCCTCAATTGAGGAATTATTGAGTCCATGCTGGCCTGTGGGCACATCTGTATGGGATTGTCTTGACTTTTAACTGATGTAGGAGGGCCCATCCCATTGCACTGTGGGCAGCACCTTCCCTGGGCAAGTGGTCCTGGGCCATGAAAGGAAACTAGCTAAGCACAAGCCTGTGCAAGCTGCCAGGCAGCGTTTCTCCATAGTTTCTGCTGTACTTCCTTGGCTATGAGTGAGTGTCTTGGTCAGAGCTGATGCTGTGTGGAAAAACAAGTGGGCTTAGCTTCAAGTTCCTACTCTAGGTCCTGCTCTGACGCCCCTCAGTGATGGGCTGTATTATAAGCTGAAATAAACTCTTCCTTCCCTGTAGTTGTTTTTGGTCATGATGTTTGTTATAGCAATAGAATGGACTAGAACAGCCATCTTATGGCTGCTTCTCTGGGAGAACCCAGCTCCTCTCTCTGCAGAAGCAGACCATGGGTCAAGCCATTTCACTCTTGGTGTTTGGGTCAAGTAGCCCTGGGAGAGAAGGACCAAGCCTTACACATTTGTCCACACACCCTTAGGAAAGGTTGGACATGGTGATACACCTGTATGAGAGGTCAGGCAGAGCCAGAAACCTGAGGGAGAGGACAGACAGGGCCATGTATCCTTGGGAGATATCATGTGAGTCCTGAGTATGTATATAGAGAGTGAACCCTAATGTGAGCCATAGACTTCACAGTAACATATTATCATTAGTTCGTTAACTGTAATAAACATGCCACATCAATACGAGATGCTGATAATAGGGGAAACAGAGTGAGGGAGTATGACAGAGTAATGGGAACTCCTGTACCAAATGCTCAGCTTTCTATAATCCTAAAAGTACACTAAAAATAAAGTTTATCAATTGAAAAGACATTATATACTAGGGAAAACAGTAAGAAATTCTGATTATTGCATTTTACATCACGAACTGGTTCCAGAGGAAGAGAGTGCATGATGGTGGGGAAGGCAACAGGCAGGGCTAGGCCTGGCAGCCAGAAGAGGAAGTTAGCTGATCATATTTTCATCCACACACAAGAAGAAAGTGGGTCAAGGCTAGGAACCCTCAGGGCCCACCCCCAGTGATGTACTTCTTCCAGCAAGGCTCCGCCTCCCAGAAGTTCCATAATCTCCACAAATAGCACCACCAACTGGGGACCGAGTGTTCAAATACATGTGCCTGTAAGAGACATTTCACGTTCAAATGACGACACTTTGCCCTCTGTCACCTGCAGGCTTACAGCCAGCTCATGGTGTGAAATGTAATCTGTGGTGGGGGAATTTGCGTGGCAGTGTCTCCACACTTTAACAGATCAGCAAGACCCCTTCTGTGGGGACTAGAAGCAAGGCTGGGCTATGACCCTTAAGGCCTGACCCTCGTGGCTTGTCATCCAGCTAAGGTCTACATGACAGAATCTCTACGACCTCCCCAAACAAGCAGCACCAATGAGGACCAAGTGCTCAAATATATGAGCCTGTTGGGCACACTTCACATTCAGACCACAAAACACACAAGCAAAAACATACATGAACAGAACTTTAGCAGAATATTTGCTAATTGGACACCCATCCTGACATCCAAGTGAGAATACCTGTTTCACATCTACTTTAAGTTCAGAGTCTAAAACAAATGGTTCTATCTGAAGACAACAATCAAAACAAGAACAACACCACAGTTTACTCTAGAAAATTCTTCTACAGTATAATGCTAGTTTTCATCTTCATGAGCAGTTCAGAGCAAGGAAATAGGCGGATCTTGCCTCTTTGTAAGTAGATTTGATGAATACTGTCTACACACATAAACACTTCTACTAGTTAGGGAGTAATAAAATTATTATAATGCCTATTCAAATGTCAGTCATGAACTATGAAGTTCATGTACACAGAATTTAAATGAAGGTAATTGTTTGTGGACCTGTGTAGCATGCATGATCTATCCCAATGAAAAGCTTAGGTGAGATCAGATCAAAACAAAGCTCTCAGAAGAAAACTGTGGCTGTAATGGGGATTTCGATTACAGGGTCAGAAAGCGGCTGGACTTGTAGTCTAGGAGAGGAAGAGCTACTGTTGTTTATTAATTTATTTGAATATTTTAGGGCATGAGAGAAAGGCTACAAAACTAGTGATTTAGGAATGGTGGCTGTGTCTGTAATCCCTGCCATTCAGAAAGCTGAGTGGTGAGCACAGGAGTTCAAAACCAGCTT